TAATGTAGAACTAAGGACTGAAGTAAGAAGATTCACTGATTGTCACTCTGAAATCTTATCGACATATTGACACAATAAATGTTAGGGGTACCCATATTGAGTTTTCTCCATAATAAATACTAGGACTGAACTAGGTGAATGTTTCAGCAAGTTCTCAAGGTTGCAGGTCTTAAATCAGAATGTGTTACCACAGAGATCAGCACCTCTAAATATTATTGTATCTTCCCATTCATCAGGATATAAAACTTATGCTCACTATTTCTGGTAACCAGATAAAAGTAGAATTGATGTTATTTGAACAAGTCACCGTCAGTAATTCAGTGTCAAATATATAATCAAGTGAAGCATTAATAAATGTGAAAATTGAATTATTAGATGGCATATTGAAAGATAAGGCTTCATGGTCTGCAGGTTTTTAGGTTTTTGCTTTTGTGCAGAGGATATATGGATATTCTCACTTACTGCACAGCACAAAATTCACAAAACAATTTTGTTTCCATTGTCAGGTGCCTGATTAAAATAGCTTCATTTATTGTCTTTCAGAAAGATTTTTTGTCTCTTTATTTATCCTTTGGAAAAGCAAAATAAACATTAGCTATACTTACTACTGCTAAACACTAGTTACAAAATGCAGCCATATAATTTTATATATTATTTGAATATATTTCTTAAATGATGCTGAAGTTGGAATCTTAGATGTTCTGTCAGCCGTATGTCAAGATACAACATGACATATGTTGTGAGACTGCTTCATTCAGAATCTAAATTTGGATCCTAATTGACAGTATGCTATATTAATTTTAGAAGTCTTTTTTTTTTCATAAAAACTGATGCATCTTCCTCTGTATCCTGATAGAGCATAGGAAGATAATAGTGTCACAGCTGTTTCCTACTGCAGACAGAGTTTTCAGGAATTCATGCTTCTTAGTGGAAGAAAAGAAAGACTATCAGATACCTGGATTTTTGGAAGGTGTGTTTTTAGACTTACTCTTATCAGAAGAAGCTGTTGTACAGAAATCAAATTCTAATCAAATACAATGATGAATGTATAGTTTTGTGAACACATATCTTAAAGAGATTTGTCTCTGTGCCATCATATCTTATTTAAAAAATATAAAAGGCTTCCTAGAAGAGTATGACATATAACACAGGCACTCATACATTGTGTCATTGGTGTTTTTCTTTTTGGTGATTCTGGGGATTGAACCCATGGCCTGTGTACTCCATGCAAGTGCTATACCACCAAACTACATCCCAACCCTTGTTGGTGATATTTAATAATTACATTATTCAAACTAGTAAGTGAAGCACCAAATAAGCAATTGAACACATTATTTAAAATGTATATTCCTACAGAGTACTGTAGTTTTATGTACTTATCTAAATCATTTAGTTACCTAAATATATTGACAATTATTCCAAAAGAATGAAAGACAGGATTTTTTTTTCTACCTTGGTAAATATTTACCTTGGAAATGTTGGGTACTCTGGTGCCACCATTTAATTTTTTTTTTAATGTTTCAGTAAGTCCTATTTTAAACACAGTGTTTTATTTGTTTTTTTTCCCAAGAGAAACAAACCTTCCATTGTTGAAGTTATTTTCTAGTACATCTATGTTGATAATTTCTTGGTACACAGTTCCAAAAGAATACTCTAATTTTAAATTCTCTGTTTATAAGGCCTAAAAAGTAATCATCAAAACTAGCAATATTTTGTTCCTTAAAAAAATTGAACACTGTTTCACATTAAAATGATCTATTTTAATATTTTAAAAGGTGTTATTTAATTCTAGAACACTTGGAATCTGAGGGAAATTTGCTAAAGTATATCGGCGCCTGTCTGTGTAAGCTGTACCAAATCCTTCTATCACTTGTCCGATGCAAATGTACGTGGACATGTTCAGAAAAGTTTAAGAGACCCCAGTCATAGTCAGGTGTAAAGGGTAATATTTTCCAACAGAAAAAGATGTGGAGAATCTTCTTTCTAAACCAGTTTCTCTAAGCAATATGCATACCATTAGTAGAACTCTCTCTCTCTCTCTCTCTCTCTCTCTCTCTCTCTCTCTCYCTCWCWCACACACACACACACACACACACACACACATTTGTGTTACCTTCATTTGGTTAATCGCAAATGGCATATTTCTGGTGCACATATTTCAGAGTACTGCCACACAGCTGTCCTTACAAAGAATAAAAATAGAGCAGTGGACAATGGACATGGGATTGTGTTTTCCTATATGAATATCTCACATATGTAAAGCAGCATGTTCTGGGATCCAAGTAAGTCCACAGTGTATTTCTAAGATATTTAGTCAGGAGCTACCATACGGAGGAGCAAATACAGACAAATGGTCAGTCAGAAAAAAATCTAGAATTCACTTCAGTTTTCTCTTAATCATATTTACATAGCACTCCATCCTCCATTCCCAAAACCTGCAATGAGGACCTTTGTCAGAGAGTTTCTAAATTTACTGTAGAAGTCAAATTTGCCTCATTTAAACCTTATATCAAGATATTATTATTCTCCAAAATGTGTTTGTTCAGACTATGATAATCTGCTGCTGGCCTGAATCAGATGCTATAGATTATAACCTATATTTTTTAGTGCAAGTTCTCCTTTTATTTTAATAGAATTTGTGTAGCTGCAGAGTTGCCCCTCTCAGCCAAGGGTAATCACTTACTGGGATTAAACTCACATACAAATTATGAACTCAAAAGAAACTACTAATAATTAAACAGGTGAGTCAGTAAACAGAAAAAGGCAGGCAAAACCAAAAGAGATCCCTTGACCTCTTAACTTACATCTCTCTTTTCTATACTTGCCCTTGATACCATTGTTGATATTTTCTGTGTGTGCGTGCGTGCATGTGTGTGTGTGTGCGTGTGTGTGTGTGTGTGTGATTTCTGCAGCTTAGAAATACTGTATTAAGAATTTTCAATACTAAATAACCCAACAAATGACAGCCAACGTGTTTTTTTTTTCTTTCTTTCTTTTCTGGGATCTTCTCCACAGTTAAAGCAAATCTGAATTACATTTCTGACAAAGGGAGGGAGGATATAAAAAAAAAATGTCAGAGAATGAGTGATCGAAAAATAGAATCAAGACTTTTGTATGCTCCCATTCATTTGCTATCCCTTCCTCCATTTCTCTGACCTACTTTGCTGGTAATGATTGGTTTTTCACACCTGGAGACCACAAAACCCTGGCGTGAGATCCCGCCTGCAGAATTAAGTGTGAGTATCCAAGCTCTTCATCCATTAGGAGCTGAAGCTTTCTTCAGCTTTGTCGATCCTTGTTTCACCATCAGGGTGGCTAATTTCAAGGCCATTGATGAGATTTTTTTATATAGTAATTTTGCTTCACATAGATGAGACAGAATCACACACATAATATATTAAAATATCAGGAGGGGACTGAGGTGTACAACCAGCAATTTCCTTTCTTACTTGGAAGTTTGTATATGTTTTCTTATCTCAAATATCCCTAGTTCCTTAAAAAGCACCCTTAATAAATTATCTTTGTATTAGTATTGCTATCTACTAGTATGTATTTGTCCTTCAGAGCAAATCTATATTCATACTTCATTTTGAAGCTAAGCAATCAGCTTATGGAAGAAATTCAACCCTTTCAAAAGGATGGAATGAACCACATGAGGGTGTTTCTGTAATAACATAACCTGATTTTCTGAAATTTCAGAGTCCTAATATATAGCTTTCTACCTAGCAGAAATTAGAGCTGACACCCAGCAATAAACTGAGATTTTTTTCTTGTCTTTCTATATAGATTGGGAATGAGTCAAGGACAGGAACCAAGTCTTATCATTTGTGTACCTACAATACCCAAATTATTATTTAGCACATAGTAGGTCTTTAATAATTATTGTCAAATTGAACTGAATTTGCTAACACTCAGAATCAAAACATTTGCTTTCAACAGCAGATAAGGTAGAATACTTCTACCTTTTTATGATCATATTTCCTCTGGTCAGTGGAATTTTATTTAGGAGATAATAAATAAATTATAGTGATACTTTCTTCCAAGTGGAATTGAATTTATATCACAAAATCAGTTTTTGAAATCTGAGCATTCTATAAAGGGTAATTCTAATCAGAAGGAAAAAAAATACCACAACATCCTTGAATATTGATCTGAAGTTCAAGTTAACTACTGAAGCAGGATCCTGTAGAGATTGACACTGGGACTAAAGAATACTCCAGTATTTTCCTTCTTAGAAAGTAGGAAATCTAGTTAACCTTCATGTTTCTCACATTTGAGCCATACTACAAATGAGTTGTGTCCAGGTTACAGAAAAACCAACAATATTTTATTTATAATCTTATTTTAAGCTTTTGAACTACAAATTCTGGTTCTAGAGTTGTTTAAAAGTCATGGGTTTTATAGATGCTCATATGTAAATTAATCTGTTGTTTGCTTACTTTGTTTTACTTTTCTTTTCCATAGAATGGTCCTCCTCATAAATACAGAACAGATTATTACATGAAAAATATAAGATCTTGCATTTCTTTCTTGTTCTTTCTTAAAAATCTATTTCTAATATTGCATTCCCCATTGGACTACTTCTTAAGGGTATGAGGGAAAAAGAAAAAAAGAAAATAAAAGAGAGCGAGCGAGAGAGACAAAATAGACTGGATCTCACCACTAGAATTCACCATAAAAATCTCAAAGTGTAACAGAATTCTTACAAAATTTCCTAGACCAGTTCTTTAGGGAATTGAGATCTATGAAAAATATGGCAATCGGGGAAGGGAGGGAAAGAGATGTGGGAAAATAGTAAATAACTGCAGCAAAAACAGGTTCTGAGGAATACACATCATTTTGTCTGCTTTAGATCACAATAGAATTTTTAATAAATAAATTTCTTTTTTGTTTTTTTTTTGTAAAGACACTTTTTTTTTGAAACAGTAGATTTAGCCCAGTCATTTGTGTCATTTTTAATAAACTGTCTCTTTTTTTTTTTTGATTGTTTGTTTTCTGTAACTCTGTAAATGTTTTAGATCTGAGTCTCTTGTACATTGTCTTTAGAGTTCATTCGGATCAATAACGGTTCATGCACTGAACTGTGTATTGAATTTATTGTGTTAACTGTTGTTGTGTGGTTGAAGGGAGATTTGTAGGAATTATAGTGGTTTAGGTGCTCATGCTCGATAGCAGGCATGGGCAGGTGGCTTTCCATGGGTGTGTCCCCTGTGATCTCATCATCCACATTGATGATTTCAACAGTCCTTGTCGGAGCGTGATGGTTTTGCCTATGGTGCTGCTTTCTCATCTTGTAGAAGATGACCAGCATCACTGCCGCCATGAGTGTGATGGCCACGAAACACCCAATGATGATTTTGGTGGTCTTCATGACCTCATCGATGCCTGGGATCCCACTGTTGATATCAGTCACTGGGATGGTGAAGGTTTTTTCTGTTGACCTTGTGCTCTGTGGCATGAGAGAGGTGGTCACATTCGTGGTCTCCCAATCAATCACTGGAGTGGGGCCCACATTGTTGTCTGTGGTCCGTGCCTCATCCTGAGAAGGTTCCATTGTCTCTACTGTGACAGTGGAGAAGTAAGAGAAGGGAGTCGTGGTTGCTGCAGTAACATTCAGGGTGGCGGAAGCAGTCGTGTTCCCAACAGAATTACTCACCATACACGTATACATGCCTGTATCTTGAACGGTTACATTCGTGAAATTTAATGTACCGTCACTGAGCACGGCTATCCGTACTTTGTACGCCCCGTGTGTCATGACTGTGCCATTTGGAGTGATCCAAGACACGGACGTCAGGGACGTGGAGGCCCGACACTTTAGCTCAGCTGCCATGCCTTCGGTGACATTGAGGTCTGCAGGGGGTTCCACAATCACAGGAGCATAGCATGTGAAATAATTCTGGTCGAGCTCCCCGATGTACCTCCCTTTCAGATTGGGAGGAGTGTTACACCGGGCGCAGCAAGCGGTGTTGGAGGGGGCCATGTCTTTTATCCACCAGCTGAGCCACAGTATGTCACAGTTACAGTTCCAAGGGTTGTGATGTAAGTGTATCCTCTCTAGATGATGCAAGGGTGTAAAGAGGTCATGAGGCAGTAATGTGAGATTGTTGTGGGCCAGGTTGATCTCCACTAGGGACTGAAGGTTATCAAAGGCATTCCGTTCAATCACTTGAATCTGGGACTGTATCATCCACAGTTTTTGAAGGTGCATCAACCCCTGGAAAGAGCCAGGCCTGATTGCGGACAAGTGATTCCCAGAAAGATCTAGCTCATCCAGTTTTATGAGCGGTGTGAGGTTAGGGATTTCCCGGAGGTTGCACATGGCAAGGTTCAAATACCTCAAGTTGGACAGACCTTCAAAGGCACCTTCTGAGATATATGAAAGCCTTTTCAATTCCCCTAAGTCTAGTCGCCGCAGGGAAGGGATTCTGTTAAAAGCATAAGAAGGGATGCTTTCAATGGGGTTGTTTCGCAACCAGAGCTCCTTCAGTTTAGACAAATATACAAAAGCTCCATTCGGGATGGTAGTAAGACGATTGTCAAAGAGTTCCAGAGTGTTGAGGTTTGCCAGACCATTGAAGGCCCCAATTTCAATGGTTCTAATATGGTTCCGACTCAACTGGAGGATTTCCAAGTGCCTCAAGTGCTTGAAGCTGTTCACTTTGATGATCTGGATTTGGTTCTCATGAAGGTTCAGCAGCCGCGTGTTGGTGGAGATGCCATCTGGAACCTCACGCAGGTTTTTCCGAACACAAATCACCTTGCTGAACTGGTTGCTGCAGGAGCACACGGAAGGGCAGGTTTGAGCCCGCACCAGACCAGCCACCACAAGAAGTTGAAGAGCCAGCAGCACCACAAGCAGGGGGTCAAATAGGGCCCTGTTAAACCTAGGACCTATCATTATCTGCTGTGGATGTAAGGTCATCTTGTTCAACATTCATAATTTATCTGGTGTTGGTCCGTCTGGAGTTCAAACAATCTGAAAAATACATAGAAGGAAAAAAAAGGGTATTAGAGCTTCCATAAGTGAATTTCTGGAGAATGTTAGTGATACAGTATATCAGCTGATAACATTATTTGCCATATTGAAAGAGACAACAAATCTGATGTCCCTTATTGAGCTTTGTGGCCCATTATTCATGGGAAATATCTCTGCCTTCCAAATTAACAACTGCCCATAGCCAGCATTCTATCAGAAGTACAATCACAGAGAAATGGACCAATGATGGGGAGAGCCCTAAAACAGTGCTCATCAACTGAGTGTGACCTAAGCTCATAAAGAAAGATGTGTTGAATTTTACAGTTAGTTTCAGTATCCATGACAGATTGGGAAAAAAAAAATAGGACTTTGGGGTTATACCCTGCAAAAAAATTAGTAAAGACTGATTTTTCATGGGAAGTCATTATATATTCCAGGTACCATGGGCTATAGAATTCAAAATTAACTTTATCCAGTAGTGGCTACATAATTCATGGGCCCCAGTGTAAAATTAGAATGTGGGTGTGTTGTTTAAAACTTATAAAGAATTTAAAATCAGTGATAGCAGACCATTAACCCAAATAGGCCCTTCTAAACATGGGTTACCTTGTATTGGGGGATAATATCAGCTGTAGGTACTGGCATCTTAATTTAAAGTACCTTTGAAGATGTACTGAAATAGTGATGTGTATACATGTACATAAATTTCGTGAGATTTTTCACATCCATAACTCATTATTATATAGRTAACTACTACCTCTAGGCAAACAAATCACATATTAAATCATTTCTAAAGCAGTATAATTTTTATTTTCAGGAAAAAATTTTGTATAACAGGACTATTGTGCCTTATGTCCCTACTCTTACTGATTTGTAGATACAGCAACTCACTTTATTTCTTTTTGCTAACAAAAGGAAGACTTCTAAAACAATGTGTGTTTTCTAGTATAGTCCTCACCCAAACAGATTATCATGGACTGGGTAACTTTGTTTCCCCCCTAATTTCTCATCTGAATATGCATTGTTGCTTCTATAAATCTTTTATAAAGAAAAAAGAGAGGGAGAGCTCACCACATTCTAGGAAAAATGCAATAATTTAGAACCTACTTTGTATCATCTTGGGCAAGTTACTACTCCTTTCTCTTCTTCAATCTCCTCTTCTAATTTGCAAAAATAGAAATTATAATTACATAGCCCTTAGGTGTATGAGAATAATAAAATGAGTTGATGCACATAAGGAACTTAGAGTAACACCTCCCACATTGTCAGAACTCAGTAAATGTTAGTTGTTGTTATCATCATCATCATCCTATTTATCATACCAAATAGTTTGCTAAGGACTGGTCATGTAAAGATAAAGAATATAACCCTAACCCCCAAAGGGCTTTTAGTTCAAAGGGTGAGGCAGATGGGCAAACGTATAATATACAGTATTATGTGTTTCTCTATGCAACAAGCCACATTGGCACAAGGGCACTAATGTCAGAGTAAATTAACCCAAACTGAGAAATCGGTGTGTTTTAAAGAGGAAATTCAGCTGCTCTTGGTTTTGTGGAGGTTGGGAAGAAAGTAAAGATGGGTATTTTAATCAGAAAAATCAACCTGAGTCAAGACAGAGACGCATAACAAATGCTAGCATATACAGGGAATAAGAAACATGTCCTCGATAGAACAGAAGAATTGGAAAAGAGAGTGATAAAGGAAATAGAGATGAGATTGGGTCTAGATGTTGAGAGCTGGTCCCATCAAACTTAAGAGTCCCCATTTCATTCTGCAGGCATTTGTTTCTAGAAAAAAAGGCAGCTCTCAGCTTTGTTCTGAAGAATAATAATGTTGGATTAAGATGGGAGAGAGTAGCTCTTTGGAAGGAACTACTAACAAGAATTACTAGGAAGATCTCCCAGTTGTTTAAAGTAAGCCTTGGAAAGAAGCCAAGGATAGAGAAAGTCCTGTTCCATGGTCATCCCTTCCATGTCCTCCCCTGGACATGGAGGGCTTTAGGAAAAAGGGCTATCTCCTCGATAGGACCTAATCTTTCTCTTCTGGTGAGATTCACAATGTAAATGAACAGTTGTGAATAGCTACATTTCCATAACTTACACAAGAGGCAGAAGTGGCTCTTTCCAATAATAGGAGATGTCCTCCACAGGAAAAGCAGCTGTCCTTAGCAATCCTTAAGCATATATTCACAAAACTCCTCAAAGGGACCTTGGTTTCTCTTTTGTTTTGTTTTCCCTTTTTGTTGTTGTTTGTTTGTTTTGTTGTTTATTTGTTTTTTATTTTGTTGTGTTTGTGTTGCTTTTTTTGCTACTAGGGATTAAACCCAGAAGTGCTTTACCACTGAGCCACATCCCTAGCCCTTTATACTTTTATTTTTGATTTTAAGACAGCGTCTTTCTAAGTTGCTTAAGGCCTCACTAAGTTGCTGAGGCTGATCTCAAACTTGGAATCCTTCTGCCTTACCCTTGAATAACTGAGGTTGCAGGCATGTACTATCACACCCAGCTGGGACCTTAATCATAGAAGGTGATATTTAAAGTTCAAGATTGTTTTCTGGCTTCAAATGCTTATTTTGGTCTCCTTCCCTATTGCAGCAAAGAAACTTGACTAATAGGTTCTGAGTTCCTATTTCTTTCCCTGGCCTTTTATAACTGACCACCCACTTTGCTTCCTTTTTCAGGGCTGCTGCAGTTCTAGATTGACTTTTCACACTATCTTAGGCAGTGATTATGTGAACCATGTAAAGACAGGCCACATCTGATGGTTTCCTCTTAGTCTACTGCCAACACTGTGTCTGGCTCTAAATAAAACGAGGTTGCAAATGTGTAGAATGGTTAATATCTTATTGCAGCTCTTTCTGTACATATAGTGATATGTTCTAATATAGTAATCAGGTCTTTTAATTTTCTGCACTTGCTAATGTTTAGATATCTGGAACTTTGCTGAGCACGGAACAATGGGCTGTATCATCCCTACCCAATTTCYAGAAATAAGAAAGGACTTGTCTATAAGCATGACTTTCCTATGCAAACCATCCAACCCAGAGCCAAAATCCTGATCCCCTCCTTTATTGGGTTTTCAGAGAACCCTTGTATTTGACCAGTATCTCACTGTCTTAACCACCTCAGGACCAGCTACCAGGAAACAGGGGCAGCCCCTCTGTCCCAGAGGCTTTCAAAATTACCCAACCTACCCAATCATAATCTGCTTATCCTGCCTTGCCTTAAAAACCACATTGAAGATTCTTGTCCACATTTTCCCCTCATTTCTTCTACCTCCTGATGGACCTTGGTGGTTTCCAGCATGGTCTCTGCATGCTATGGTGTGCTCTCTCTTCTTGAAAATTATAAGCAAGAGCTCTCTTCTCATCAGTACTCATCTCCTGACCTGCTAGCCTCTCCATATGTGAATTTCAAAAAACACCCATTTCAAACAACCATGAAATAACAGGGCCAAGGCACCATATTAACCCAGTCAATGGGTTTATAGTTCTACCCCATTGTATAGTTCTACCCCTTTATGTTGTGCCAACAATGTGGTTGGTGGGCTCTATGTCTTGAATTAAATTTGAGTTTTCTTTTATTGGAAATTAAAACATGACCTTAAAAAAATCATTTTGGGCTTCCATTTCCAGTAGAAAACTGTTTACATTTCCAGTGAGGATGGCCCTAGGCAAGTTCTCATTTGGGAGATTTAGTACAGTTTTGCATATGTCACCCCCAACCCTCACCCCCAACACATACCTCTTGGGGTTACTGGGAATGATTTTTTTTTCCCATGTGAGGTCCCTGATACAAAAACCAATTAATATTTTCTAGTTGAAGTCTCAAGTTTTTTCTCCTCCCTTTTTTTCAATCACCTCCCATGCCATGACCTTCCTCAGAATCCTAGTCTCTGACAATACAGGTGGAAATAACTGGTSGAATGGAAATAGTACAGGAGGGAAGATGGTAATTCCTTACTTGGCTCTTGCTACCTTTTCCTCTGTTACAATAAAGACAGCCCAGGCCTGATAGACAAGAGAGAAGGCTGTGATATGAGACTCCCTGTGTTCCTAGATCTGTATGAACCTCACTGAGATGGAATTGGGAAAGTTATTTTGACTCTCTATACTTCACTCTTCCCATCATGAAAGGGCCACAACTGAATCCACTCAAAAGCCTTTCCTTAAGAAAGTTACTGCTTTGTAATAAGCAACATGCAATAAATATTTATTACATGTTAAAAATAAGGTGATAGGGTCCTCAGGTCCCTCTTCTTCTTTAAAATAGAAGCAGTAGCAGCATCTCTTATTCAACATTGTATTAAGGAATAACTGCTGTGATCAGGAATACGCTGTCATTAAAACACAGGCAAATGTGACATTATTATTACTCCTCTTTCCCAGGACTTAGTTTTATTTTCTGCTTCCTGACTGTTTCAAGGTCTCCGTGCCATTGCAATTAATGTGATTTCCTATAAATCAGTCATAAGTAATGATTTATGAATTACAGCYGGTTCAAAGCCAATTTATAACTTACAGCAACTAACACTTGGTACATTGCACTGAATCAAATAAACTACTATCAACAAAAGGTTTTCTACTTTAAAATCTAAATTATGTTACTTTACATCAAAAGCCATGCTTCAACATCTCTTTCATAAGATGTTTTTATCACATCAAAAGGAAATCAATTTAAAGGTATGCACTATCCATTATGATGCCATCTAACAGCATTTACTTRCAAATAGATTTGTGTGGGTTTTGAATTAAACTATGATACTTTTAGCCCTGTCCCAGAGGAGATCTTGACTCTGTCAATAGACCTTTCTTCCTTCCCTGTCCATGCTTCAGTGCACTGATAGCCTAGCGAGAGGCGTAGAGAGAACTGCATGTGGAAGTTAGCTAATGGAGATGCTTTATTTAGCTCAGGATTGTTGCTGACTTGGCATAGGCTGTGKATAGACATTAGAATTAGTTTAAAAGAGAGGTGAGATCAAACAAATTCAGCTAATCCCAA